ATTACCGATAAAAGTTTTAAAAGTTTACCTAATTTTGGAACGTCGTTAGAAACGGGGACGACGTTTATTCCCCGNTTCGAAAATTGGGGCCAGGACCTATTTTTTTTTTTTTTTTAATCCGTATACGCGCAGGGTTGAACGAGAGTTTGAAAATAAAAGGAGGAAAAAAAAAAAAAAAAATAACTGCTTGCTGTGTCGCGCGGCAGGATCGAATTTACGATCCAATCAGTTTACCGAAAAATCAATTTCGCGGGAAATACGTGTCGATACATTCAACGATTTGCCTCGATTTGGCAAATTCTAATTACGGCGTACACGTACGCGCGCGCGTACGCTCGCGCGCATTCACAAAGCGGGATAATATGTTCGCAGGGAACAAAATCGTTCATGAGAACACTCTATGAATTCGCGAATACTCGGTTGGCTTTGTTCATCTTTCGCACGCTATTTCTCCTGATAATTGAGTGTTGTTTAGCACGCCGCACAATGGAGCATCGTTTGTGTTGAATTCGCCCCCCCCTCGTATTAAAGGGAAGGGTTTTCCGCGGAAAAATATCGATTCGAATTCCCTCCCCCTCCGCCGAAATTTCCAACAAATCTCATCAAAATAACTATCTCCGAACTTTGAACGAACTTGAGTCTTAGCGCTAGGATCTCGAATGGTTGCAAATGTTTCTAGGAACACGATTTCATCGGGTTAATGCAATTAGCCGTTTAGAAGAGCGATACTCGCGTATTTTGCGAGCGTTTCCGCTCGAAACGACTTGTATTTCACGGGAATATATTAGCAATTTGCTCGAGCAAAATCGTCATTCGCGCGAATCTTTTTTTTTTTTTTTCATAATTTTTCTCGATAATCAAAAATTCCGAGCAAAATTAAACGGATAAAAGAGGTAGCTTATTAACCAAGTTCTTTTTTTTCTTTTTTCTCTTACATTGTTAGCTATAAGGATGTTCGTATAATATACTTGACAGTCGAGATAAACGCAAAAAATGTCCATTTATTTATCGAGTTACGTTAAATTTAACAGAAGTTCGGCTTCGTCCAAGTTTAATCGTTTACAAAATTGAATAATTCGTCCGAACTTACGTTTTCTTCCCATCAACTTTAACATTTATTTCGACCTCCACGACTCTTCAAATACGTCATGAATACGTTAACATCCTGTTACACGAAGAAAGGTTGAAAGGGTACAAGTTTGCAATACTAGTCGCGCGATTACCCCATCGTTTATGCTTTCACGAGACGTCTCGTACCCATTCGTGCTATCGCGAATTTCAAACGCGTGCCGTTTAATACTTGTCGCGTCACGTAATCGAGCGATTATCGCCCATTGGATCACTTTATATACATCTTACTTCTCGCAAGGCGCGAATTCGATCGTTGAAAGATCGCGAGGGAAAAAAGAAGGGACGATTCTCCTCGTAATCCGAGACACCATCGTGGAAACGAGCGTGCGCCGTTTCTCTTCGTTAACGACGCGATAATAATTATTCCACCGGTCCTACCGGTAATTACTCTCCTACCGGAGGAAAAAAAAAAAAATCATCTGCCCTCCAAGTTTCTCAACCCTTCCAAAAACGGCATATTCATTTTTTTTTTTAATGATTTTCGATAAATTCGTTGGACCAGACCCGAAATAACGATCGAATCCTCCACCCCAATCCATTTGAAATTCATTCTCCCCCCAGGGACGATGGTGTTTCGCGTCTGGTCGAATCGACCTCGTGACATTGACGGGATTAATTATGAATTTCCGAAAGAAGCTTCCGGCTGAAACCGATTCGAAACGAACGCGATGTATACAGAGAGGGAGGGGACGTTTGATCGCGGTGCATTCGGGTGCGATCGGACCCCCCTTTCGATCGAAACTCGGTAATATTGCCGATTAAACGTCGTTGCGGAAGTGGATCGAGTTTTCGGGGGTTCCATCCGGAGGGGATGGAAAGCTAGGGATAATTTTAATCCGATTTATGATAGCTACGATATCTTTTCGATAAATTTACATTAGACGAGGGAAGGGGGGTGAGGAATTCGGTAATTAGACAGGAGGAAAGGAGAAAGGTAAGACGTGGAGGACATGTACGTGATGGTATAGAGTGGAATTAATCCGCTCTAAGAGGGAAATCAGGACTAACCAGGGATAGACGAGCTAAGGAACGCGCCCCTTCGAGTAAGATTGAGGATTCGTTCTAGGCGTACGCCATAACTGCGTTCGCTTCGCCACTTCTCCTTCCTATTAGAAGATCGTTAGAAACACACTACATCGGAAGAGTTACAACGGACGATTATTCGCGATAAAATTATCCTCTCGTCTCATCTTCTTTCCTTTCGATCGAAACTCGAGACCCGACGGGGAGGAGGGACGAGAGAAAATTAGATACAACGTAGATGGGACGAAATAAAATTATTGGCCGGTCTCTAGACTTTCATATTGGATATAGTTGATCGATATGAGCCGGCCAAAGGAAGACGAGAGGAGATCCAATCCTCGGTTAATGAATATCCCTCCGAAAAAAAGGATCCGCGAAGCGGCAGCCGATCGCAAAAAAGAAAAAGAAAAAGAAGAAAGAAAAAAAAAGAAACGAATTTTTACGAATATATATAAAACAACGCCGTAACCTCGACGCCTACTCGAGACGATACTCGAATGGACGAAACGTAGAGACATGGTCCAAGCGACGCGTGCACGTAGGTACGTAGGCGCGAGCGGAAAGAGATTCGAAAAAGTTGGCGGATCGCGCGTTCCACGACGCGACGAGCGACGAGGAATACAAAGCGTCGAAGGGGATAGCGGTTCCGGGAGAAGAGGGAAGGCGGATAGATATAGGCGAGCGGGTCCTGAATGGAAGAGAGAGGAAGATCGCGGAGAGGAGCGGGAGCGCCTGCGCCCTCGGCTATACCGAGTTTCTGCGTACGTTTCCATCAGTCGGGTGTTCAACTCCGGACCGCGAACAACCAGCGATCGGGGGGGGCCCGCGTCGCTTCGTCCGCCGCGCAACACCCTTTCGACCACCGTCGTTTCGAGAGGATCGGGAAACGCGCACGGTAAATAAAAAAGGTTGCACGGTGAAAGTTTCCGCTCTTCCACGTTTCCTCCTCTCTCTTCCCTCTACTAATTTTTCTACGGTGTCGAGTCGTTTTTGGGCAAAATTCGAGAAAGAAAATTCGAAAGCGATTGAAACTCGGTTCGAATCGAGATTCGAGAGATTTGGAATGAAATTTCGGAAAGGGCGAGGATCGACGGGGTCGTCGCTCGTCAAAGGGGGAAAGGATCGAAGGGCGTTGATCGATCACCCATTAAAGATAAACATCCCTGTACCCCGTTGATAATCGGTCGGCGGAGCTAGCACGAGGATGGCACGCCGATAATTATGAACAGGGTAGCAACTCGCGGGTGGACGTTAACGGTGGCCCGCTTCGACCGCGATTCAATTGTTAATCGGGTTTATGCGCCGTCGAAACGAAAGAATTACGCGGTTGCAATCGCCCTCCGATTAGATTCCCATCCCTCGAGTCGATAATCCATCGAAAGAGAGACAGGGAGAGCGAAATTGGCGAAATTCGGCCAAACGTTTTAAAATACGTTTCCCGATCCTCGTCACGTTTCCGTTCCCCCTCGTCTCCCTCCAAGTAGATCGCAGCGATGCGTGGTTGGAGAGGAAGGATCGTGGACGAAACGAGCCGGTGGAGCGGAGAAGCTCGTGGGTGAGAGACGATCGGGGGGAAAAAGGCGTAGCGATTGGACGATCCATCGTTCGGTAGCGCGGTCGAATCGGGAGGAGTGTCGTCCCTCCGAATTAATTTGGACGGATTTACGATCCCGCTGGTGGAGATAGCGAGCTGGTGGACGTGGATCATGAAGCATCACCTGTGCGCGCGGATGGCCGCGGCGTGGCGGTGGCAAACGAAGAACGCAGCGAGGGACCCCGTTTCGACGCGACGACGCTGAACCGAGGATCGGTTCGCGCCATTTCTCTCCATCCACAGTTTTCCTCCTCCTCCAAATTAATCC